TTCTCTTCTCTTCTCTTCTCTTCTGCCTTCACTTTTCCACGCTTTTATTCTCGTTTACTTTTTACTCTTTTCAATCAAATGCGGCACCGCTGTTCTCAATTAAGTCTAACACTTTATTTGTCCACCAGAGAAAATATATGAAAGTAATGTGAAAAGGTCACGTGTTGGATATAGCCGATCCTGAATATATTATCTCTTTTTGTCAATCTACAACAAAGCAGTATTTTCAAAACATCCATTATAATCCTACTTTTAGCTACGTTTTCTTTTCTTTTCTTGTTTAAACTCATATCTGTATTACAGCTGAATCTTTTTTAGTTTGTTACTCTACGTTACCTTAATTGAACCCTTTTTTTTATTATCGCAGTTGTATCTTCCTTAATTAAAAAGAAAGAAAAAGAAAAACAGCATATAGCAATAGACTAAGATTGAGCGGCGTGATATTTAGTAGCCACTGTTCATGATTGTTTTGCACCTCAGTAACAGTTCCCGTCGACGGAACTAAAAAAACCCACTCACTAAATATCAAAATGACTTGAAAAGTAAAACGACCTTAATGACATCCGCCACTACTCGATGGATCTAAAAAGAGGGAACCCACAGCGGGCCATATTGTAGGACAAACGAGAAATGTTTTCTTTTGTTTTCCTTAAATGTAAACTCTTTTATACGTGCAAAACCCGTGATTGAATCGTTTTTGCTGCCGTGGCTCTATTTCAAGAAAAGAGTGGACAGACTGAGAGTGATTAATGGGTTTGTACGATCACATACAGCAACCATGTTGGATGACAATTAAACATTAAAATGCTTATCATATTACACGAAAGAGAATCACCTTGCAAATCGGCCTTCTAAAGGTCACTATACGACCAAAGTGCACAATGGGTAATATAGGCACGAAAAATATCAAAATTTCAGCGTTCCAAACTGCGACTTGTTTTGATGAATAAGTAAACAGCCGCCATGTTGGTTGATGTAACGAGAGAGGATGATACTTTGACACTCAACCAACATGTCGGCTATGACGTAACGATAACATTCTCCCTGTAATCAGGAGTTTACCAGGGACAGTTTCACGTGGAAGGACGAGGCGCCGACAAGCATTATTATTATACATTTTACTAAGTATCTCAATTCTGATTGGTCGAGAGCACTCAGCCAATCCCTCAATATCATGTGAACTCGACATGATAAATGTATTATCTGTAGGTTTTTTCGGCTACAAATAATACATTTATCCTGTCAAGTTCATTCAAGGCCACGCTGTGGTAGCTTTGTTTTTATTCATTATGTGTATTTATTTACAGAATTATGTACAAAAACAATTATTTAAGGAATGCTTAACTTATTTTCATATATTTTATGAAGAATTCTCGAAATATTTCTGAATTAAGAATTTTGCGCGCGTTTTTCACGCGACATCATGGCGTTCATAATTCTGTCCAAGTTCATATTAATTTTTTCCCAGTATACAAAATGTATAATAAAGCAATTATTGAATTCGGTTATCGCATAACATCGTCGTAAATTAGATATCATGCTCTGAACCTCATCCAAATGTGTCCTCGAATAAAACTGTTGTTCATGTGGCCATAAACTCAATATCCATATTTGGTAAGCTTACCTTATGTGGAAGTGAACAAAGACTTCTTTTTGGTGGTTTCTCCGCCATTTAAAGCTTGAAACTGTCAAAATATGAACCAAAACTTGCAGATGCTATAGCGAAGAAGCAGTCCAACAGTGTCCACCATCTTGAATTTAGCTTAGAAACCTAGCCTTTGCCAAAACGTTTAAAAACACAGGGATCCCGTGCGAATGACAAAATAATTTGGTGATGAATCTACAGGTAGACCAGACAAAATAGGGATCAAAATTTATAGGAATCATCCAAAACATTAGCCAAGTGCACACTCACCGATACCTTTACTGGGTTGCCTGTGCAGTGGCGGGGGACCGCCAAGCAGAAAAAGTTGGCGCGATCGGCTTCACAAAGGAGGTTCGAATTTCACTCTACTGTGCGTAAAGAACACAATGGCTTAATACGAACTTAAAAAGTGATGTACTAAAACAAAAATGCTGTGCAACACGCTACTGTTCGTATGAGTGAGAAACAACTTTAAACAAAACTGTAGCTGTAGTGCAGTCCTATCATCACCGTAGCCGTAACCACGCGCAGTACGCGTTATTGTTTGGATGAATTACTGTAAAAAATGTGGAAGCCATTTCAATCTTAAACTATATATCTTACCAAGAGACCATCATGGTCTCTTGATCTTACCGTGTGAGTGTTATATATCGCCATCATACATGTCAGTTCCACTCATATGAAAACCGCTCTAGGGCTACCGGTCATGAAAGCACTAACACTATGAGAGGGGGTACCCAATTAATTGTCAGTTAACTACTATTTTTTGGGCCAATTGTCAGTTAACTACTTATCCCATTGGCACCCTCCTAACACTGACCATTTCTTCAGTGTGACTATTCGATAAATATGAGCCAAAACAATTACACCACACCAGTGAAGAATCGCACTTATTTCCAATCAGTTTGAAGTCAAAATTATAATGTTTATCAGGAGCTTTTCTTTTCTCTTGATTTTATCTACTTTCTTTAGAAAGATCATTTAGTCAGAGATATCAAAGAAAAATTTGATTTTACCATAGTATATTGCTAAAGTGCGTTTCTATGGTAACAGATCCAAGCTATGAGACCCTTGCATTGCATTGTGGACCGTGAAGGTGGAGATACTGAGAGGAACAAGAAGCTTCGTGAAAAGAAATTCTACCTGAAACATGTGGAAGATTTGTGCCTAAAGATTTTAATACTAAGCCTAATTCGTATCCTCAAATTGATATCTTGACAGGAGAGCCAAAGTTGATTTAGTTGACTGCAGTTTAGACACTCGAAATTGGAGAATTTTGGGCTCAATTCGTCTTCATCAACATTACCTGCCTCACGAAACTTTATAGAAATCCAAGAAAATGCTAGCTTGAATGCTTTGGATTTCCTGCCGTTAGAAATCCTTTTAATCTTCCCGAGAAAGTCGTGTAACTTCAGCTTTGTCGTTAAGAGACGAGAGTATTCTAAGCAGTTATTGATATGAGGGAAGAAGACGTTGAGGTGGCCATTAAGGTTGTGGTCGTAGGCAATGGTGCAGTTGGAAAGAGCAGTATGATTCAGCGATACTGTAAAGGGATTTTCACCAAAGATTACAAGAAAACTATCGGTGTAGACTTCCTTGAACGCCAGATAAGGTAAATCTTATCCTTCTTTATTAGGTATAATATATATCAAGATTGGTGAGTCAATCAGTTGTGGATTGCGGGCGGTTCGAGGAAAGACACCAGGCAGTTTATAATTTGGAAGTGCATTACTGTTTGCATAAACTTAAATGAAAATCGTTTAACAGTATCTCAAAAGCCCCTTATTTATGATTATTTGGATTAAAAAAAAAATGAAAAAAATTTTTTTTTCTAAATATTTATAGCATAAATGGCGAGGATATACGACTTATGTTGTGGGATACTGCCGGGCAAGAAGAATTTGATGCTATTACTAAGGCATATTACCGAGGTATGATAAATCTTTTCTTATTATTCAACAAAGAAAATAGAGAAATATCCCGTAGACTGTGATCGTTACGTTTTTTTCCACCCACATTGTAAGCAAGATTTTTAACGAAATAATAATACCAGCAAGCTTATGTGTGCAGCTTCTGGATTTTATACAGCGAAAAAAATTTTAAAAATAGGACAAAATATTTTTGTATGATTAACGCTATTTTTGTATAACAAACACCAAAAAAAATTGCCTTTAACTACATTTTTATGATGTAGAGGTTTGCTTTTCTGAAATCTTTTTGATTTTTAGTATTTTTCCATTCTCATTAGTAGTCAAAAATATCATTTTCGTATTTCAATTTCTCTTTGAGTTTGACGAAGAACTTAACCAAATATATACATAAGCTTACATTTTGTATTCATTGCATTTTTTCTATATTTCAAATTAAGTACATGGAGTGCTTTAGGGATCTTTTTTGGATTATCTCAAACTGCACTCCAGCAAAGAATAAAGAAATATTTTGTAAACACTGCTTTGAAGTACATTTATTGTTTACAACTTCCTTTCTTAGAACTTAAGATTACAAATTAGTTATTTGAGTTTAACGCTTATCTAATGCATAACCTTAGGTTAGATGTTCTAGGAGGACAAAATTTAATGAAAAACTATGTGCTGTTGTGTTTGAAAAGCAGTAGTTTATTAGTAAAAGGCAAGATGTCTTAAGATAAAGCATATTTTGGATGTTTTCATTGTAACACGACACAAAACATTGCATTGTTTCATCTTGAGTTGAGTAGGCTGTTTTTTACTAGTACTTAATGCATGAGAGACTGCTGAATTTTTATGGGAGGTGCTATTTTTTCATAACTTAACTGTAATTCTTTCCAATTGTCTGATATATATAATGCAACTTACATATCAATAATTAGATTATAATATTAAAAACTGATTTTTTGGCTGAAGGCCATATATAAACTAGCTAGCTAATCCAGCTATGTGCTGGATTAAGATTTGTAGATGAATATTATATGATAAATACCAAAAAATTCAAATTATGATCAAATTGTTTTTTAATCAGGATCCTATGAAGTGTAAGCTCTCAAATATGCCAAACATAGATATCTTCTGTCTAGATATCTATATTTTTCATCACTGTTGTCAAAGATAATAATTTTTTAAAAAAAAATGGACACTAATGAATATGGATAATAATTTTCCTCTGTTTTTCATTCCACTCCTGTTGCACAAAGGGTGGATAGTGCTATTCGGTGGATATATCTTATCCAGTGAATAAATTTATTGGATAAAAGCATCGACTTTATCCACTGGATAAGGATTTATTTGTTGAATAGCACTTATCCACCCTTCATACAAGCAGACCCTGTACTAGGCAACAAGTTGTGTTTGAAGGTTTTTACCTTAAGCTGAAGGGTTACCACGGAAAATACATGATTTTATATCAAATCAATCTATTTACAATTTAATGCTGTTTCATGTTTTAGAAAAGCCTTTGGATCTTTTGGTAATACAGTCAGTGTTGAAGGAAAAAGAAAAAAAAAAAAAAGAAAAAAAATCTAACAAAAAAGATATAATAATTTACATTACAAGAAATATCTAATACGCTAGCTAAATTTAGCAAAAAAGGAAGGGGAGGGGAACAACATACAGACATAATATGCTTAATACATTTAAAGTCTATGACTTTAAGTTTGAAATAATATAAAAGTATTTATTCAAATTCAATGCCAGAGACAAAACTTTTCAAGTGATATAAATTGAATGGTATTGCTTTATTATTACTTTTAGGTGCCCAGGCATGTGCTATAGTATTCTCCACTGTAGATAGGGATTCATTTGATTCTATAGAGACTTGGAAATCAAAGGTAAATCAGAATTGCATTCTCTCCTGCTTCGTAGTCTGCCCAGGAAATGCGTCTACTACATGTATGTATGCTAGTCTTGGCTGATAATTATATATATTCAAATAGCGCTCTTTTACCATATGCATATGTTCAAAGGTGCTTCACAGAAAAAGAGGTGGTTAGGCACTGAGGGTGGTCACTGCCAGGGTTTCTTTTTACGTCCTCAGTGGTTCTTTTATGTCCCTCCGATATTGGTTAGTAATGATGAAGTGTGGAGAGATGGGACCGCCATTTAAAGTGGTCATCCAAGCCACTTGAAAGTCTAACCGTTTTCAGATGTAATTACAAAGGCAGCACCAGTTATTTTAAGACCCTGAGTGTTGGTCAGGCCGAGCCTTGAACCACAACCTCCCGCACAACAGACCAACGCTCTTTCCAACTTAGCTAACAGGATGGCTGATATACATTTCCTGAATTTGCTTGAGTGTTCTTGAGAAAATGGTTCTTCCAAGGTTGATTTAGATTTGACAAAATACAGCTATGACTAGATCACAGAAGGTTTTGGGTCTTCAAATTGGATCATTAACTCGTATTCTTTTAAAAAATTATCACCTTTCAGTATTTTTATTTATTCTTTTCTTGTCTAATATTTGTTCTCACAGTCATATTAGGAAATTTAAACACTTAATTTGACATAATAATTATGTAACTAATTATTAGTCACTACTGAATTACAGTACATATGTCACCATAACTGCTGGATTGCAGTTCATATGAGAAGACCCATAGACGAACGTAGATCAATATTAGAGTTTGGTTAGAGCATATGAATATCTAGATAACTGAAGATTGTGAGTTCAAATCACAACAAATCCTTATCTCGTAGAAAGAAAAACTTTAATAACATAAACTATTTTTTTAATTACAATAACTAATGCGACAAATGTATTGATTTGTTTAGGTTGAAGTCGAATGTGGAAATATACCAATGGTTCTAGTCCAAAATAAAATTGATTTAATTGATGAAGCTGTTGTTAAGCCGTAAGTATACATGTAATTTACAATACTCCTCAGGTACTTTGAATAAAAGGCATAATGCACTATGGTGTAGTATGCAGAATGCAAAAGAGAAGAATAGTCCCTTTCACAGTTCCCTGCGCCATCTTGAAAGGTAGCCATGCCTTTTCATCGAAGCAAGACGAACAGTGAGCTTGCAATAATGTAGACCTTTTTTAATACCTTGAGCAATTATTAACGTGTCTGTAACATATTGCAAGCTCACCGTTCATCTTGCTTTGATGCAAAGGCATGGCTACCTTTCAAGATGGCACATGAAACTGTGAAAGGGGCTATTTACTTAGGAAAAAAGCGTACTCTGATTGGCTGAAAACAATTTTGGATGAGAGCATACAACATCAGGTGGTAAACTGCTTATGAAACACAATTAACCTATAAGAATTATTGTTCAGGGTAATGAAATTATGATTCAATAAAAACCTGCCTATCACCTTAGTGTGATAGCAGGGGGAAGGCAGCGGCATAGCAAGGGGAAGTTTCCTCCCCCCTAAAAAAAATAAAATAAAAGGATATACTAGATCTGTGAATAAGGAGGCAGGAGACTCTAAAGATAAAACCTATACATGTATGTGTATTGGCAGGAAAATGGTACATTACCCCCTCCCTCTATGACCAAGGCCTTGCACTCCTGTGTGATAGTTAGCTTGATGGGACTGAATGTAGGAATAACTTGGATTATTGGAGGCTTAATAATAAAGATGCTTCCAGAGCTACATGTGGTCATCCCATCAAGTACACCTGACTGATATATAGGGCTGAGATCCTTTATATAGTTGACATCCTGATCTTCAATTTCTTTATTTTATGTAGTTACTAACATTACGATTCTATTTATCTTGACTCCACAGAGATGAGGCTGAGTCACTAGCGAAAAAATTGAGACTAAAATTTTACAGGACTTCAGTTAAAGAAGATCTTAATGTTAATGATGGTACGTATTTGTTATCATTATAAACTTAACAGAACAAACTATATTCACGTTGACCCCTTTCCTCAAAAAATAAAAAAAAAATAAAAATATCCTCAATATTAGCACAGTCATTAGATAATGTAGTGCTTCAACATGCACTTTATTATAGTTATCAATCATCCTAACAACATTTTCCCCTTTTTTTCAGTTTTCCAATACCTGTCAGATAGATATCTAGATATTCTACATAATACTGAAGTGGAACAACCGACCACCAATCAAAAAAGTGGTAAGTACTTACTTACTTAAGTGTGTTTCCAGTTGCATGAGAAAAACAATTGGGGTCGGTAAGTTGGATTTTTTTTACTGATACAACAGTGGAAATGAGCTTACTGGGAACCCTGTGGTGCATTCTGGAATGAAAAAAATATTAGGATGGGCAAAAATTGGCAAGAAAATTAGGGTTGGTCGCTCAACAGGAAACACACTTATTTTTTTTTGGCCTGATCAATGAACAATTAATTACAGAAAATTGTCTCTCCAAGTATTTGATAAACTACCAATAGCTATACTTCCTACTACTCTTGAAATTAGGGATTTAATATCATCTTTTTTGACATCTTAAAATGTGTTAAGAACAATACTTGATATGAACAGTTACTGGAAATTGTTTCACTAAGTATTTGATAAACTACCATCACATGGCAGCACCCATAATACAGCTTGGATTGCCTGTGGTTAGATTGGCAGAACAATAATGTCCCTTGGCTCTTTGGAATTAAATTCTTTCTTATGTAAAATGATTGTACTGTTCCTGCCATCTAACATTGCTGCCATCACCTTGTGGTGCAAAGCCTCTATATGCAGCCGTTACTTCCTACTACTCTAGGAATTGCAGAGGGTTTAATATTATCATATTAGACATCTTAGGGTGCTGTTTGCAGTATGGGTTGGTATTTTTTGATTCTGCAGTATTTTGTTGAGGCTCACTGCCCAAAAATGTCTAATAAAAGGGCTGTAAATTATTTTGTAAAGTACAAAAATGTGCAGCATATTTGTACTTGCTCCAGGCTTCATCTTGTGATATTTTATTTTGTACTCCACTGAGTATAGTTGGATAATAAAGTATTACATTTGTTTATTTAGTTGCAGGGCTTTTTAGTACAGGAGCTACTCAGCCTGGACAGCCCCCAAACAACAATTCTAAACCAACCAGTCAGCAAGGTGGCACTGGAGAAATTATCACTCTTAAGCCAAACAAACAACGAACCCACGGTAAAAAGTCCAAGCTTGCAAGTTGTTCCATTTTAGGCTGAAGAACGTGACAGTTCTTAATAATTGCTTGGGTAAATCCAATAGTTGAACACTTTAATTTCCCATGACTGAGGTATATCTAAAGGCAGTGAATCATAGTCATGGTCTCACCAACAAATGTTGGTGTGGGCCATACTATTTATGCCTGCCGAAGGGGATGGTTAATAATACAAAAATAATGTGTGCTAGCACTTGATTGGTTGGAAATTAAGTAAACTAGGGTTATTGTTTCCACGACCAGAAACAATGTTGATTATCGAAAAATCAAACCAACGAAGAAAGGAAAAAAACAATCCAAGTGACTCCACGTATTATTACATGCGAGTCAATATCATTAAGAACTCACATAAAAATATACAATCAAGCAATGAAATCTTGGTAACATAAATTACAAATGAGCATAAGATATCATTGTCTTCTAGATTGACTTGGCATTTACTGTAATAAAAATTTATCTTCAATGGGCTGAATTGAAATTTATATGATTTTTGTTTAGTCTTCATTTCTTTTTCAAGTGTCTTCGTGTTTAGGATAAATGTTTGTAACTTATAGAAATCATGTTATGAAAAAGCACATGTACACCTGTAATATTCATATAGTTCACATATTGGCAAATAGCTTTGTTTTAACTCACATTTACAATTATAATTATTTTAATATTAAGTAAGAATAAGCACATAATGCTTGTTACTTAAATAAGAATGAAATGAATTAAATAAATGCACTTATATGGGATATTTTTATTCAGGTGTATGCATTTTGTGTAAAATTTTAAAGTTTCCAATCTTTTAGTCATTCTGAAAAAGGCTATCATCAGCATAGCCAAAACGTCAAGACATGTTTTCTGTTATGCATGTTTTCTTGTTTCATAACGCAAAAGCCTCAAAAGGATTATCCAATAGTGTTTCCACGGATGACATCACAATTGTGCATCATGGGATTGAAATGCGGACAAGCCAAGCCAAGAGGACATGCTAATATGCTGCAACAAAGCTTTGTAGTCTTGTTGTTTCCATTCTTGGAAGAACTATTGTTTTTTGACTGATATTCTTCTTCTTTTCCTCTTAATTGAAGCCTGTGCTTGCAAAGTTTGTCTGCATTTTCATCCCTCAAGGCTTTGCCATATCTATTTTACTTAACCGTGAAAAATGCTATTGCATTTACATGAAAAGTAACCTAAACTCTTTTCTCCTGTGAGGCAGGGGTGGATCCAGAGGGGGGTGCAGGGGGTGTGCACCCCTCCCTGGTTCCACTTTGTTCCCCTACTTCAAAGATAACCAATACTGTTTTTTCCCTTTGATTCTAAGGGTTGCACCCCTCCCTGGGTTAAATGCGCAGTACCCCTTCCTGAACAAAATCCTGGATCCGCCCCTGTGAGGGTACTATACAAACTCTTGTTCCAGTGCTTCTTGGTGCATGTTTTTTTCATAAAGATTTTTGGAACGTGTCATTCTCTAGTGTATGATTCCTTCGTTTTATGAGAAGACACAGATCTGGTCTGAAATGAGAAAACACAGACATATATCTTCAGTCTCATAATCACTAAATTTAGAGCCAAGAAGCACACTGTCAGGTCTTCAGGCACTTGGGGTACAGAAATGTTTCGTAAGGAGGATTGCTAATAAAAGCAATGGATTAATGAGGATTAATCCTTTTGTGGGGGGGGGGGGGGAGGGGATTACCAAATCTACAATTCTCAATGGGATTGAAAGTAAGACAAAGAAAATGAGAAACATTCAACTTTTAGCTAGAAAAATGTTTTACCTGTTTAGATGTTTTCGTCTAAAATCCATTCAAGCGATATTAAAATATGGCTAATCGAAATATTGATGCAAAAAAATGTGTTAGTCGGATCAAGTGAAGTTATGGGCTACCTGTGTGTTTTTAATACAAATAGTTGGCCAGCGGAGTCTTTCTACTAAGATGCGTAGAAGAATCCAAAAATAGGCATATCGCGCACTTGGTCTTCCTCTTTTCCCAGGCGCTCATAGAAGAGGTGAGAAGAACTCAAAGTCATCATAAATAAACTGTATTTTTATCACGGTCAAAAAGGCAGAATCGTAAAATAAATACGCCATGTTATAAAACAATACATATTCTTCAAATGAGTGCTTTTATTTTAGTTGGATGGTTGGATTTTCCTTGAGATTGATAAAGATAAACTTTTATTGTTGTTTCGTTCCTTAGATCAGCCATGTTTACGGCTAGCGCTAAGATAATTAAGCCACAAGGCGAAACTGCCGATGAATTCGAGCAGAGTATCTCCCAGGTAAGGGTCCTAATCATCTTCATGTAATTATATGCTCTGAATTGTTTTTATAACCATTTTTTTGCGTAACTGTAGTAAATATTCCATGATAGATCTCATTTGTAAAGTCTTATACCATTCACGTGTCTAACGGAATAATTTCATTTAAAATAAATATTATATCATTAATGTAGGCTATCCTGGAGTTGGAAATGAACTCTGATTTGAAGGCCCAACTTCGTGAGCTTTACATCTCTGCTGCAAAGGTAAGAAAATGAGTACATCACTTATCTGGTAGTTGTTGATGGAAGCCAGCTTGATAACCTTTTTGCAGATCTCTTGGGTATTTTATTAAGTTCTTCAAATAATTAAAACTCAATTTATAACGTTTTATCAAGCTTCTTAGATTTAAAAATTTGATGGAAAATAGTGGAAATGCATGGCAGAATGATATTATTACCATTCTTTGCTACATTTTCCCATGTTAAATTATATTAGCTCTTAAAAGTGGTAAAACATTTGGTTTCACTTAAAACTTTTAGGAAAAATATTTAATATCTTTTTCATAAAATGTTATAAATACAATGCTCTGTTAACTCGGTTGCAAAATAAAAAACAAAAAAACATTGAACATAGATGCTGAGACTGGGAAATGACAATTTATTCTCTGATGTATTGATTTGAGATACAAGAGTAGATGTGAAACATGTGCTAAAACCCTCCACACTCTGTATAGTATTTGTGCACACTCTGTATAGTATTAGTGCAGCAATTTATGAACAATCCTTAAGTTGTATGGCTAGTTACATCTAATAAACATATTTCACATGCACTATTTTGGTCTCTGCTTCTATGTTCTATGCTTTTGACCATACAATGATTTTGCAATTGAGTGTATTTGTTTAGTTAGTACCGGGCTTATGTCTTGAATTATTCTCAACTTAGGAAGTTGATGTTGGTGGTAAGAAGGCTATCATCATTTTCATTCCTGTTCCACAAGCACGAGCATTCCAAAAGATCCAGGTATGTTGAGCAAAGAACGTAATTTTTCTTAGGTGTGATGTGTCATTTGTGATGATAGTAATGTCGCCCCAGTCTGATGTATATATACTCTGACTGACTGACTTAATATACCTGAGATGAACTGTGTATTAGAGTATACGAGCATGTTGTCTTGTAATCTAGAATTATTCCCTAGAGAAGAGTACTCCTAGTTTTATACTTTCTTGTGTAGTGTAAAACATTGTTTGAGATGACTGGATCTGTCTAATAGAGTGCATGCACTAATCCAGTGAAACAAATAACTTTTAGTACTAAATGGTGATAAATAAGCAATAGAAAACAAAGGATTCTGTATGAAATAGTACTAATTAGTACTAATTAATGTTCACGGATTTAGTGTGCACTCTAATAGTTATGTTTTAAATTCATTCCATGCATGTCTGTAGTATCATTTCTTTTTTCTTCTTTCTTTAAAAGTCGTGTTACATTAATATACTAGAAAGCCCATATCAGGCAATGCAGAGAATGCATTATATACAGTATACTGTGTTGTTTTTCTTTTCTTTATCGTTGTAAATAACGTGATGTAACATGATTTTTCTATATTCTGTACAGATCCGCTTAGTGCGTGAGTTAGAAAAGAAGTTCAGTGGAAAGCATGTGGTTTTGGTTGCACAGGTTAGTTGAATGTATAATATCTGATTAAAAGTTCAAAAAACTAATTCAGAAAACTCATTTCATGCTTCATTTTGGAATACCAATGGTATCAATACCTTTTGACCTTAGTTTCTGTTGAGTTTAAAATTTGCTTTAAATATAATTTCAACTGATAGAGTTTAGAGTTTTCTGATGGTATCCGTAATTATATTTAAGCAAATAATATTACTAATAAAGGGTTTGCACCATCACGTGATGGCAGCACAACATTAGAGTCTTTTCTCCAGGGATACTGTTTTTTTTAAATCATGTAAGTCTAATTAGACCAAATTTGATTGTTCCTGACTCATGTCATGGCTGCCATTACCTGATGGGTGCAAACCCTCTATAGAATTCAAAGTCCTTGTGTCTCATCTGTGATGATTAAATATGTCGCCCCAGTCTGATGTATAAAAATACACTGACTGATTGACTTACTCATTCAATCTGAGATGAACTATTAAGCATGGTCCTTACTAGTGGGGCAAGCATGGTTCCCACTAACAGTGCAAGCCAAGAAAAGAAAAAAAAAATGTTCCCTTCTCTTTTTCTCTCGTTCATGCTTGTGTCACTGATTTTCATAGTTACAACAATTTTTTTTCTAGAGAGAAAGAGTTGAGTTGAGTTGCTAGTCAGAACTATGGTTTTAGACTTTTAGGTCCTGGCCTAATTAAAGACATGAATAACAATGCAAAATGTAAATTTAATTGCGTTTGGACTGAAGATTTATTTAATTTTCTTCTTTAGAGAAGAATCCTGCCCAAACCAACAAGAAAGTCAAGAAACCAAAAGCAAAAGCGACCAACAAGGTATCATGACTATTTTCAAATTTCTTTAAATTTTTTTACAAGTATAAAAATTAGAAAAAAAACAAACTCATGACAACAATTCTAATTTTTTGCTTCACATTGTCCTATAATTCTTGATTTTATTACCTTTCATGTTTATACTTGCATCTCATAAAGAATTTTTAATGTGATCTTTCCAGCCGAACACTCACATCTGTGCATGACGCCATTCTTGAGGACCTCGTCTTCCCTAGTGAAATTGTTGGCAAGAGAATCCGGGTTAAACTTGATGGCTCACGTCTTATCAAAGTGTAAGTATGAAAAGCATTTTTCATTGATGACGGCAAGATTGTGCACCATGGGATTAAAATGTGAACAAACCAAGCTGTGAGCAGATGCTAACATGCTGCAACAGTGTTTTGTTGTCTTGTTGTTTCCAATTCATGAAAGAACTATGGTCCTTTGACTGATATTGATCTTCTTTTTCATGTAACCGAAGCCGTTAACAAAGTTTTTCTGCCTATCGATCCCACAAGCCTTTGCAATATCTATTTTTAGTAATCCTGAAAATAGTTTTTTTATTTTATACTCCTTGGGCTAGCATGGATGTTGTATTTATTTCATTGCTATGATTCTAGAGTTAATTCTTTGACTTAGCATCACATGGGGTTAAAGTTTTTTTGTTTCAAAGATTTTTGCAGTCATGAATGGAGTTTTTGTTGATAAGCAATCAAGTTGACTTGAAATCATTGAATTTTAAATCTAAATGTTAAAATTTGAATTAGAATTGTTGCATTTTATTGTTAGAATTTAACATTAGAGTAAAAAGTTCACAGTCATCTGTGATGATTAAAAATGTCGCCCCAGTCTGACGTATATAAATACACTGACTGATTGACTAACTCATTCAATCTGAGATGAAGTGGATATTCTTTCATTTATATGGTCTGTTATGTGTATTAGTGTTTTCAAAAGACTGAAGTTTATGTAGTATATGTACCTGAGAAAGACTTAAAGCTGTGTGTTCATAGTGCATCTTGAGTGAAGCTTCTCATTTCTCTGAGATGTCTACAGTCCCTGCTTTTTCTCTCCCTGTATGCCACTTCAAACGCACCCCCATTATCCGCACAACCTAAACTTAAAAATCCTAACTCCACTGACTTACAAAAGACTGTTACCAGTCTAGAGATGGCTTTATCATAACTTTTTTGTTCTGTTATTGATTTGTCAATCTTCTTCATGTTATATTACAGACACCTTGACAAGGCCCAGCAAACAACTATTGAACATAAGGTAATACTTCATTTCAAAGTTGCTTTTATTCAGGGAAAAACCTTATATTGAGTAGAATATTGATATTTGAATGACAGCATGTGAAATGCGAATGTTTGCCATTATTAAAGGTGTTAGAGTGAAGTCATTAAACCCGTGAAATAGATATTAGACTAATACACTTTAGTAGACCCTAATTCTATTGTTTTCTTTTGTGTCTATTTGACTATTACGCGTTGACTAGTATTTTTTATTTCACGGGTTAAATGCGTTCATTCTATTTTGTACTTTGCTGTTGGAATTTGTTAATAATTTGATGCTGAACTAAAGGTAAAACCAAGTAAATGAGTCTCATCCAGGAACACAGTAGCATGTTATGAATTTGAAAAACTCTTTTACAAAATGGTGAACTCTGCATGTTTTACTTGCTCTTTCCTGGTTGCATTATACGACATGGATATAAAGGTACAATAGCCAATTTTCCATATTCTGGTTGAGTGATCAAACACGAGACAATCTAAGTCGATGCTCCGGGGAACAATAGCATAATCATAATTATCCTCCTGTTACCGTGAAGCCTCGAGTCCGGTTGCTTTGCGCTTGATCACTCAACCAGAATTTCAAAAGTTGGCTATTACACTTTCCTGAAAAATGTTTTAATACTATTTACATTTTTTAATTTGTAGTTGGACACATTCTCATCAGTATACAAGAAGCTAACAGGAAAGGATGTTGTATTTGAATTTCCATCTTATGACTAAGCTGTAACATGGCAAAATAAAATGATATCTTACCCTTTTGGGCTGTAAATCCATAAAAAATTACCATCATTTGAAACTATTTACTATCCTTTTTGATTGTGGCTACTGCCTCATAGAGGTGAAGCGACTATGTCATTGAGTTTTTGAAGTCTGTCCGCAACACCACAGGAAGCACAAAAGTGCTCAATCCAGAACTTCGGAATCAGTCAATAAGCTTCCAAACCAATCGGCAATAAGCCAGTCAAGTTCTTCAACAATCATAAACTTCGGAACCGATCATGACTAAATGACAAAACTTGCTATTACCGAACTGTGACCGATGTAGAACAGATGCAAATACCTGATAAATTCTGCATTCCGGACCGAAACTCCAATTTCTATCATCTAACTCAACACGCACAGTCATCATCCACTCAATTCACTTCTCAATCAAAGTAAAATTCCTTAGCAATTGCAAAACCAGAACAAAAACTGTATTTAACTAACATCGATATAAATGTTCGATTACTTATAAGCATTTGACTTTCGAGACTCTGCAGTAGTCACCTGCGATCATTGAATACCTATTTTTTCTTCTCTCAGACTTCTAAAATCAGAAATGTTTTCTTCTTGCGAGTGCTATTCTGCTTTATTTAAATCGGTGGAAGCCATTTCGATGTTAAATGTGAAGCCATTTCGATGTGAGATGTGAAGCAATTTTATAGTTAAGCCAAGTTGCACCAAATGGAAAGCCATTTCAATGTTTTCTATGAAATGGGAAGCCATTTCAATGTTCCATCAAGTGTGAAGCCATTTCAATTTTCCTTTAAATCTGAAGCCATTTTATAGATAGGCCATCGAATGGGAAGCTATTTTAATGTTACACCAAGTGGAAAGCCATTTCAATGTTATGCCATTAAATGGGAAGCCATTTGAATGTAAAGTGGGAAGCCATTCCTATGTTACCTCATGTTACTCGTATCCACCCAAAAGTCCCATCATCCTTCCCTATCCCAAGTTTGCTTGTCAAGACTACTTCACTTGCAAAAGGCAGCTACCCAAGCCGCACCCAACAGGTCATGTGAATAATGACGTCAATGACTACAAGTACCAAAAGGCTTTGCGGTTTTCTTGTATTTTGTAATGGGAATGCTAGAGTGACCACAGTAAAATCATGAAACTTTAGTAATACTAAATAGCACAATTTCATGCAAATTCCACTGTTTTCTTGTTTAACTAGCACTATTTTGTACTATTTAGTAATTTAGTGTTTCACGGATTTACTGTGGTCACTCTAAACAATTGGTGCTAAAGTAGTATAGGGAATGGGGGTTCTAGCGCAGTGACCACACGAGGATTTTCCGTTTAAAGTCACTAACCCGTGTTTGCGAAGCCCTCATTCCCTATGAGACCCCCAGGATTACCCGTGGGGGTAACAGCGCACTCGAAATATGTTACTTTACGCCAGGATTACCCGTGAGGGCAACAGCGCACTCGAAATATGTTACTTTACGCCAGGATTACCCGTGAGGGCAACAGCGCACTCGAAATATGTTACCCGTATAGGGAATGGGGGTTCCAGCGCAATCTCAACACGGGCAAGATCCGTATCAAAAATCCACCTACGGACGACCCCCACTCCAAGTGTGGTTGAGGGCAACAGCGCACTTAAATATGTTAGTCTATATATGGAGTGCGAAGAATGTAAGA